AAACTTCAACCTTCGCTTACCATGGACTGACTACTTGACCTATTTAAATATGATTGGCCAATCATTAGTATGTACTTTTGTTTTTTAGTTAACTGAGTAATTGTCATGCCTTTTATTTTATTATTATTGTTAACCATGTTAGTTGTAAAGCGATTGTAAAGAAAAACTACGAAATGACGATATCATTTCGCAAAATTTGTCTTCTAAATGCCTTATTCAAATTACAAGTTATCAGTAATCACTTCGTCTTAATTAGGTGAGGCTGATTTTATTGCAAATAACTGGGAGATAATTACTGAGTCTGAAACACTTTGAAGGGTTGAATCTACGCGTTTGCTTAACATTCTTGATACTGGGTAGGTTTCTTTCTCTGTTTATCTTCTCAAAGTGAAATACCTCTATGGAATAAAGAAAAGAGATTAATATCTATCCGATGGGATGTTGTTATTACCTAGTTAGTGAATACAAACTACTGATAACTAGATTTTCGGGGATAACATACACTTATTCTGGCATGACTACATCATAGGTAAACCCTCTGAATCAATATGATTTCAAACTCTACAGTCTATCATTTCGATAGAATAGCCATTTGAATACTACTGAATTCACTAAGCATCATAATAGTAGACTTTAATTGGTGGATTGTGACTAGCAGTGGAATACAGCCAGGACGCGCATTTCGTCCTATTTGGGACTTGTTAGCTGAATGTACCTGCACTTCTCAGTGAGTGATGATGATGTTCTCACCGAGGCTCGAACCCACTGCTAGACACCATCTACCAGTTAACTTCTAATTAAATGCCCAGACATCATCGAAGCATCTACACAAGAAGCCGACATGTCAACCCGAGACCAAGCACTTCGGTCCAATCAGTCGATGGGAAAATCTAAAATTAAATTAAAATAATAGTAGATTGTTTTATCATTTGACTAGCGAATTCAGCCGTTTTTTGAGTGCATTTTTCACTAGTATGCATTTCTGTGAAGATGTTTTGCGCTATCTGCTTCATTGCGAATACTTCTATGCTTGATAACATAACTTTGCAAATAAAGAAAATGTTAAGCGTTTATTTCAGCTAAACATTGAAGATTAAAGTTGGGACGAAACATCTGGGCTTGACTGACTTGCATTTGCGACATTTTAACAATATAATACTGATAAAATTATATTCCGCAGTTTCCGTGTACTCCTACCAGTTAACTAATATATTGTTCTACAATATTGAAAAGGATCGTATTCACGTGTATAACATCATAAACACTTTAATTGAACATGTAGAGTTCAGTGAATCCTAAATACCCTTTTTCTCTCAAGTTGCTGACACTTTCGTATATATATATATATATATATATACATATGCAGATCCAATGTGACTTCTTAAAGTTATTCTCAAGTGTAAAATGAAATGTGTACATAGGCTTGAAGCAATTATTATTCATATTATTTATTATTAATAATAATATTTAAACCTGGAGATCTGGAAACACTCTTCACACTCTGTAAATTTCATCGGATTACCCTTTTTAATGAAGCCAGTTATACTATTATACTCAATGGAACTAGTAATCAATTCTCTTTTCATCCAACCATATAGACAATGAGTCATTTGCTTGATTCCTATTCAAAATGAATAAGTTCAATCACTACATTTGCAATGGACGTAATCTGTCTTAATGCTGTCTCTTCATTACGGATACCAAGCTACACCCCAAACAAACTTCAAAGTCGTCTACAGAATACGAAATGGTCTTCCTAAAAGTGTACGAGTCAGACTTCATCAAACTGCAAAAGTAATGGCAATTCACTTGCTAAGCCCTGAACTCTGTATACAGAAGGAGTTGGTTCAATCACTACACTTGCAGTGGATGTAATCTGTCTTATTACCCGACAGGCAAATTTTACTTCTTTCTGTCTCTTCATTAGTATCATTTTGTCTTCATAATTTTAATATTTTACATTTTCAACCTTACTGTTCTCTATCCCCACCCGATTTAATTTCTACACCTCACTACCACTGTTACTGACTTGATCAACGCTCAGTTTTTAGTCATTTATGTTACGTCATCCAATTTATCTGCTTACTTTGAGTCCTAATTTAAATGGCATTATTCTCTACCCCACTTCTGTTGCTACCCTGACCTTAGTTGAAACATTTTAGTCAGTTATATTACATCATCTAACTTACTAACTCAATCTTACTTTATTTGCTGTCCAATTAACCTTGTTTCTGTATTAGATCATTTTTGTATTACCTGATCAATGATCTAAACTTGACAAACCTCATGCATACACACACACACACAAATAATTGTATATAAATGCGATTGTACAGCTAGCTATGTGAATGGATTCGCCGGCGGAAAGAGTCTCTTCGCTGAACGTCTTCTCTTTCCCGTATGAACAAGTTTCAATAAAGAAGAAATATCAAAAGTCTGAAAGAGCTGACCAATGTCAACTGTTATAACAGACTAGTTATCTATGTATACTGACGGCTTATTTCAAACTATGCAACAGCGATGTATTCTTCAAAAACCAAGGCCTTCATTTGGTTTGTGTCGATAAATGTTTCAAATAAAACCTACCAGCCCTACTGTAATTCTCATTTCGACTATCAGATACAGCATCACATCATTTTATAGGTCATAAATAGAGAGCTCCATATTTTTATTAGCCTGTCTGTTAAAATATAAATATATATTATTTAAAAAAAAGGGTTTTTTTCCCAGAAAATTTGTATGGTAGTCATCATCAGATGAGGAGCTGACAATCAACTGCAGAACAAATGCAAAATATGACGCAGGCAGTTTATCGGGTTGATATTTTCCCACGAATCTATCTTTTATCATGTATAGAAAATATGATCAGATCGGACATTTAAATTTCAGAGAAAAAAAGATCTGGTGAATTGCGTACATATTACTTTAACTTAACTTTTTTTTAAAATATCACCATGCATTATTCTTCTTTTTTCGACCAGTGATTCTGATAAAATAACTTACTTTCTTAAGTAGTGATAGTTATTTCGCATAACCTACAAACTTAATCTATCGATTTAACACCTCCCTCCTCCATGAAGTGACAAAATCAACACAAATGTGATAAGCAAATTCACTGTGTAAACACACATTACTTTTATAATTTTCCACACTGGTCAAATCCAACAATCTACACTTGATTTTGTTATCTTTACCAATTGTCCAACTTGACGCCGAAAAATGACCCCAGACTGACGAATGATGGTCAAGTTAGCAAACTTTGTTTTGATATAATAACAGATATACTATTACCTTGGTTATTTGGTTTTAGTGATCTTCATTGTTATTTTGACTTTCATTATGTCCTTTTAAGTTGAACTAAGTCTATTTTTCTCACCCCTTAATTCTTTGTTATATATATATGCTGAGTGGATTTTGTAAATTCCTGTTTAATAATACTTTGATTAAGCTATTAGCAGCAGCACTAAACAGCGAAACGTCAGTAAAAACAATGACATCGTCTTGTTTTTCATTCATAGGGAAATACAAAAACCTTTATCATAATGCTATTCCCATATGTGACTTTAGATGAAGTAAAAATCTCACTAAACCAAAACGATTGTTAAAATTAGGTGTTGTGGTTTTAACACTGAGCTAATACAGCTAATACATTGAAAGCTGAGATTTCTTTCAATGTTCAATGCCGAAAACAATCTTGTTGCGGAGAATAATTCCTTCACGGTATATTCATATCTCCAACTGTAGAAATTGTAGAAATTATTTTATAACGCTTGCCTCTGGATAATTTTCCAACGTGGTCAGAATTCCCTATATAAACATACATACATAAACCCTGTAAACCAAATTAACTCAACGCTTATGGTTATTTTAGAATTTTTAAATAATTTATTATTCAGCGTCAACGTTTCACGAGGTAACGATTGTCACTAGAATGTGGTTAACGAGACTTGACAAGACGTAAATTAACTGCCTCTATTCAGAGTGATGTTCTACTTTTCCTTATTGTATATGGTTATTTCGAGTATTTCTAAACGTATTAATATAATTAACCGGCCGAAAATTGTTTTCGACAGATTGCCCTTAGATGTACACCCAATCAAGTAATCTAGCGAGGCCAATAAATAGTCCACTCGAAGAAATCGCTTTTTTCAATGAATTTAAGTCTACAGGTTTCTCTTCAGAAACTTTTCGCAGTGACAAGGGTTCAGTAAATAAGTCTTACTTGTTTTAGTAAAATCTCTGAATTCTGAATCATGCTCAAAACAGCCAGCTGCTCAACGCGACGACTGACAGAAATAGTGGTATGTTATGTGTCTTCACTAATGCGTAGATAAAAAGATTTACTGTCTAAGTCATCAATTCTCATTAATTCATATCACTAACTAGATCAAACAGTTCAGTATTGTGCAACTTAAAGGAAATATGCCAGCGTTTCTGCTACTTTAGTATATATTACCAGATTAGTAATAGGCTCGCCAGAGTTTCACCGGTTTAACAACAACTGCTCAAAATGTGTAGACAAGGTAACTTTAGATATTGTTAGTTTTTAACAACGATGTGACAACATTTCTGACTAATCTGCAAAACTTACTCTTTCCTATTTGAATAAGTTAGCCATGAAGAGAGATAAAGAAAGTTACTTAAATTCGCCTTCTGTCTTTCTGCTGTCTCATTCTCGACGGATGCATCCTCATAAAAATGAAGCACGACCACGCACTCACCACCACCACTCAACACTAATGAATCTACTTACTCATAAAGTATAAGACTAAAATTAAATCACTAGTGAGGTGAACAAGTTCAAAACCGACACGATCTATACTTTTATGTTGTAAGGTGGTGGTCGACTTATTTGACCGTCCAGTGGTAAATGAGGTGTATACGCATAGCTGATGTTTGCACACACTCAAATTCGTTGAAATGAACATCGCAAATTTCTCTTAAGAACTTGGATGGACTTAAAACGTACACAGAAGCACACAAGCAAAGATCAATCGCTACTGTCACTTGCAGTTATATTTTATAGAAATATTTAAAACATATGGAATTATAACACTTTTTTATTATTATTATTGGTTTCATAAGTTTAAACTATAGGTATCGTCAGGTTCTTACATGTTACCATGTGAACAGAAAGAAAAAATACAATACATCAAAATAAAAACTGAAAATATTCAATGTTCAGGCCAATCAGATGTCATCTTTGTTTTTCTCGTCTTTTTCTTTGTCAGTCAGTCATCATGACCAGGATAACCTCCGAAATAATTATCATCATTGGGATATGGATCGCGCATAGATTTATACCATGGTAATGAATCACGATTCATAGTATTCATTGAACGCTTACCCAAACGTGCATCCCATAAGTAATTACGTTTCATTATATGATTTCTCAATACTGGAGATAGTCTGGTAGGCATTTCTTTAAAGGATACAACGTTGTCATCATTAGCATTGATATGATGAATATATATGAAGAATATAAAGTAGATAAACGCCAGCATATATCGATGAAGCATGTTTACTTACTTAACTGCGACAGTAAGATAAAATATAATCTGTACTTGTTAATTGAGAGAATTAAAGATAGAATCTGTTTTGTATTCGGAGTCTGTTGGGAAAACAGAAGTGATATTATCTAGCAGCTAGGATATAGATAAATAAATAAACTCAGCAGCGTAGAATTGGTTCTGGTTAAATATTAAAATTTATTTCAAAAACCAATCAGAATCTAGACTGAAACAATGTGAAAAGGGGAACAATTTATGTTTACGATTGGTTCACATTGAATGAACCAACAGGAGTATAGCTAAACTTATTAACTATATATGTTCAACTTGAAATAATTCTTCGATGGAAGTTAAATCCCCCCCACACACACACATACCAGACTTTCTATTATTGAGGATGACGTAACTCCGAGGTAAAACAGGGGTGAATACCAGCTTAATAAGTGGCTATTTCAACATCGATATATTTTAAGTCAATTTTTAAATGTATTGCAAATACATTTCCGTGGTTCTATTGTACCTAGCTAACTAACAATTTTCAGCCACTCTTATAACAGATGATAGCCACTAAACGTTGCTGAACCACTGGAAGACTGTAGATTGTATTGTATCCAATGTGGTCAACGAAGATGAACATCTGTATTGGCGCCATAATTAGTTGTAAATTCTACCGTGGAAAAAACTTATATGATCAAAGTACATAGAGATACAGTATTATTTACTGATGACGCTTCAAAAACAGTTTATTGGCTACTGTCAAATCGAGACACCCACATAATTATCAACCATCTTTTATACAATTCTATTGTAACAACACAAGCCAAAACACGGATGTATTATTACTAATATTGTTTCCTTGAGCTCCTTTAGAGGAACATTCAGACCGGTATCTCCTGCCATGACGTGGTGGTCGGGATTGCATATCACAATGATCCAACAAACTACACTGCTTCCTGTACGTACTACCATTCTAGGAAGGTTGTTAGGATAGCGAGTACACGAAAAGCAGTTACCGGAAGAGTGTATGAATTTTTTACACCATGCTGGGGATCTGTGGGCGAAAGTCGTCCTGCTGGGGAACAGGGAGGTAACAGCAGTACGGTGTTTCCCTCAGATGACCAGAATGCCAGCCAGCTATGTTGTTTCTCCACTCTGGAGAGAGGGGGTTAGAAAATGTCGACCCCAACAATTGTACATCCCGACTCAACCTACGGTGGGCCGTAACCGGTGATGAGTTTACTAATACGGAACCAATCCCAGAAACCAGTTCATACAGGCCGTGTGTGACTGGCTTCAAGCAGTTGTCCCCTGTGCTCTGAGGCCACGCAATACTGACCCTCTTTCTGTTTCAGGTACCCGAAGAATCAACCAACTACCACAGTTGGTTGGGCGGCCAGGAATTAACAACCACCCACAACACACTTTCAAAAGAACACGAAGCTTTCCTGAGAATCATTCTCCCTTACCCACCTCACCTTCATCATCTTTTCACCCTACTACAGTCAGTACTATTCTTCAGGCTAGTGAGTCATCTTCACTTCACTCTGTGAGCACAAACAATGATCAGAGCCATAGAAACACCCCTGACAGTCTCTTAAGGCCACGTCAACAACTTCATATAAGAGCATTCAACGTCAGGACACTCTCTCGAATCGGACAACAGGAATCACTAGCAAGAACTCTGGCATCTCGACCCATAGATGTGTGTGGTGTTTCGGAGACACGCATTCAAGACCCGAGTGTGGTCATACTTACTTTACTTTAATTCGGCTATCTCCTACGGGAGGATGAGCCGACTTCATGAACATCTCGAATCATCGCTGCCCAGGCGCGACGATCTGATGCAAGGTTTTGCGACAGGGTTATCCAATTCGTTCCACAGACGGAGTCCGTAGACGGTTTGTAGCCCCAGGCACTCCATATCAGCCTTGACTGTACCAAGCCATGTTTTCAACTGTCCACCTCTGCGACATCGCCAAGATGGAAATGGCGAGGGATTTAGAACTGATTTGACCAGATCGTCATCTGGTCGGCGCAGACCATGACCAAACCACCGAAGGCGACGTTGTTGGACCAGTACTGGAATTTGGTTGATGTTGTAGCAACGACGACGCACTTCTTCGTTGGAGAGTTTGTCCTGCCAACGAACATGCAGAATGTACCCGAGGCACCAATGGTCTACTACCTCGAGTCTGCGTAAATCTTCCGCGCGAAGAGGCCAGGTTTCACGGCCCTACAGGAGAACGGATCGTATGGAGGCTCGATAGACCCGAATTTTAGTCCTGAGACTGATTTCCCTCTTGCTCCATAGAACGCTCCTCAGCTGTAGAAACGCATTCTGGGCGTTGGAGATTCGCGCATTCACTAGTGTGGTCATACACTAAACCCAACCACAACAAGGTGAATCTGCGAAATTCACTTTGACGGTGTCAAGAGATCCCTCAGCTAGTTCGCCAGGACTCACAGGTGTAGGGATGGCATTGTGTGTTAGGACAGAAAACTCACTCCTTCACTGCAAAACAGTAGATAGTTGTTGCATGTGTGAGGTCCCGACCGAAAGCTGCTACCTTGACGTGGTGGTCGGGCTTGAACACCGCAATGACCTAATCAAGCTATACTGGCTGAGACTTATGTCTCTTGAGGTTCTACCATGCCAGGCAGGTTGTTTGGATAGCGGTTAAACAAAAAGCAGCTACCCAATCCAACATCATGTCCAATACAAAATTACAAAATTTCATGCCGGATCGGCCGTGGCCCGGATTAACAACGACCGCGCTTCCTGCTGCCGTGTCACAGGGCGGGAGTGATAAATCTGCTACTGAGACACACCAAACAAAAAGAACAAACAAAAACAGGCCGCGTGTGACCGGCCTCAAGCAGTTGTCCCCTGGGCTCTGCGGTCACGCAACCAACTTCCACGGTGTGGGCAGCCGGGAAGTAACAATCGCCCTCACAATCCGAAATGCACACGAAACCTCTCTATTACTCACTCATCTTTGTCTTCATCTTCATCTCTATCATCTTGCCTTCCTTCCACTGATGCAACTCCTCGACTTGATAGCTCTCCACTTCCTCTCCACTCTGCGTCCACTAAAAACGATGGAAGCCAAAAAACCACCACCGACAGCCTCTTAAAGCCGCGCCACCAATTTCATATAGGAGCTCTTAATGTTAGGACACTTTGCCAAATAGGACAACAAGCATCACTAGCCAAGACCCTGGCATCACGAGCCATTGATGTATGCTGTGTTTCAGAAACACGCATACAAGACCCAAGTGTGGTTATTCACCTAACCCCACCTGGCCAACAGGTTGAATCTGCAAAATTCACCTTGAGGGTGTCAGGAGATGCCACAGCTAGTTCACGAGGATTAGCTGGCGTAGGGATAGCTTTGAGTACTAGGGCAGAAAAGACATTGCTTGACTGGATCCCGGTAGATAGCCGAATGTGTGCTGTCCGCCTGAACGGATCAGTAAGAAGGAGGAAGGACTGCACTACTCGCCGATGCCTTTTCGTAATCTCCGCCTACGCCCCCACTGACTGCAGTTCAGATGAAACGAAGGATGAGTTCTACCAAAAGCTGTCTAGTTTGGTGGAAAGGCTAAACGCTCAGACATAGTCGTTCTAGCTGGTGACTTTAACGCTCAAGTAGGGAAATTGTGTCAATCTGAGAAGGATGTCGGTGGCACCTATGGAGTTCCGTGCCAGCGAACCGACAACGGTGACCGTCTCCTACAGTTCTGCTCTGATAATCATTTGTTTCTTGTAAGCACTAACTTTAAACACAAGGAGAGACACTGTTTGACTTGGAGACCCCCTTCATCAAACCAACGCTGGACACAAATAGACCACATAGCAATAAGCTATCGTTGGCGTGGGTCGGTAGGAGATTGTCGCTCCTTCTGGAACACGTGCGTAGATACCGACCATGCACTGGTCCGCGCTCGGGTGTGCTTACGACTGAACGGACGTAGGAAACAGCTGGCGGTAAAACCATCACGTCCCCAGCTCGATCAGGAAACTAAATCCGTATTTCAGGAAGAACTAGCTAAACACATATCTGTGTTCGACAGCTGTGCTCACCCTGAAGAAGCTTGGAAAAATATCCAGGCAGCCATAGATACAGCTGTAAAAGCTGTGAATAAGGTAAACCCAAAGGTGAGTAAAAACCACTGGATCTCCACCGCCTCATCCGAACTGATAGATGCTAGAAGACTTATTCCGGCGAGCTCCGAATTCAATGAGGAGCGAAAGCTGCACAAGAGGAAACTTACGAAAAGTCTCCGCAAGGACCGTGAACAGTGGTGGGCGACAAAAGCCAAAGAGATGGAGAAAGCTTTGAGGATAGGCAACACCAGGCAACTCTTTGGACTCATCAGGGAAACGGGTGGGAGAAGACAAATCATCAGTGAGACAATCTCGGAAAAAAATGGCACTATAATTAGCTCACAGGATAGACGACTGGATCGTTGGAAAGAGCATTATGAGGAGCAGTTTAATTTGCCCACAGCCACGCTCAACCTTCCGAGCATCCAACACCTCCCTGAATGGGATATAGACACAGGTCCTCCGTCACTAACTGAGGTTACTAAAGCTGTCACCAATCTGAAACTAGGCAAAGCAGCGGGACCTGATGGAATGACTCCAGAGGTATTTAAGTACGGTGGAGACAGCTTACTGTCCGGATTAACTGAGGTACTAGGCAGCGTCTGGGAATCAGAAGAAGTCCCATCGGGTTGGTGTAAGTCACTGATTATCCCCATATACAAGAAGGGAGACAAGTCTTCCTGTGATAATCACAGAGGGATTAGCTTGACTAATATAGTATCTAAAGTCTTAGGCTCAATAATCATGCGTAGACTGAGTGGTGCTCGGGAAGCACAAACACGAGAGAGCCAGGCAGGCTTTAGACCAGGAAGAGGGTGTATTGATCATATCTTCACCCTCCGACAGATTCTAGAACATAGGCATTCCTACCGGCGTCCAACAGTCATTATATTTCTTGACCTAAAGGCAGCATTCGACTCTGTCGATCGGGAAGTTCTCTGGAGATGCTTGGCTGTAAAGGGAATTCCGAGAAAATATATTGCACTGATTAAGGCACTCTATTCGTACTCATACAGCCAGGTGAGGGCTTACGGCGAGCTGTCATCTGAACTGATGACGACCAGTGGTGTCCGTCAAGGATGCCCATTATCTCCTTTTCTATTCAACTTCATCATAGATGTGTTAATGGACTTAACCCTAGGTGACTTCAGCGACTCAGGGATTGACTTGCTACCGGGAATAATCTCGTTGACTTGGAATATGCAGACGATATAGTCCTTCTAGGCGAAGACGCTGACGAAATGCAGAGTCTTCTAAACACCTTGAGCCGCAATCTACGAATGTTTGGCATGCGATTCGCTCCCGCCAAATGCAAGATGATGTTACAGGACTGGACTACATCGACGCCTAGTTTAAAAATAGGAAGTGAAGTGGTAGAGCACGTTGACCGCTTCACTTATTTGGGAAGTACCATCAGCCCCAACGGGCTGATCTCTGACGAAATCTCAGCACGAATACAAGGGGCTCGTTTCGCATTTGTTAGTTTACGCCGACTCTGGCGTAGACGAGATGTTCGACTATCGACCAAAGGGCGGGTGTACTGCTCATCAGTCCGCTCCGTCCTCCTTTATGGTTGTGAGACCTGGCCACTGAGAGTGGAAGACATGAAAAGACTAGCTGTCTTTGATCATAGGTGCCTGCGTTCTATTTCCCGTGTAAAGTGGCATAATAAGGTGAGCAACATGGAGGTTAGGCGTAGAGTTCTAGGTAAACAGGGGAAATCAATCGACGAAGTCGTGAAGCTACAAAGACTGAGATGGTTAGGACATGTGTTACGTATGCCAAGCCATCGCCTCCCTCGACGAGCAATGTTAGCGGATATAGGGTCAGGCTGGAAAAAAGCTAGCGGCGGTCAAACAAAAACTTGGCATCAGTCAATGAAATCCACAACAGTTGGTCTAAGCCACGTAGGAAGGTGTAGACTTCCAGGCTGGGGTCCTCGGGACGGTAAAAATCTATGGTTGGAAACAATTGGTGACATGGCTCAAAATCGTTCTCAGTGGCGCAGATGCATCCACTCCCTGTGACTTATGATCTCCAATGAAACTGTTTTGTATTTCTTTATTACTCCTTTGTCTCACACCTCTGCTCACTGTTTCTATTATGCTTTTCTTGTACTTTCTTCTCTTGCTTCGCGTGCTACACGGAATGTGGCGACTTGAACTTCCGCACATTTGTGCAAAGTTCTATGTCGAAAACAGACAGGCATGTGTGAGGTCCATCTGAATGAGTCCGTTAACAGAGGGAATGATGGCGTTACCCATCGTTGTCTTTTCATGGTCTCCGCTTACGCTTACGGATGAACTGAAGGATGATTTCTACCTGTAACTATCTAATTCGTTGCTTAAAGCAAAACGCTCAGATATAGTTGTTTTAGCAGGCGACTTCGGTGTCCAAGTAGGGAAGAAGGATACACTGAGAAGTATAAACTATAGGTGGTACGTATTGAAACCTAAAGTTAGTAAGAGCCATTGGATTTCTAGCACCTCATGCGAACTGATTGACGCAATAAGACTGATTCCGGCGAGCTCCAATTATACTGTGGAGCGAAAGCTACTCAGACGAAAACTAACAAGAATTCTTCGCGACCGAAAGCGAAGGAGATGGACAAGACATAGGCGATTGGTAACACCAGACGACTATTCACCCACAAACAACGCAGACATCGAAAACAAAGACAACTACAGGCAACAATGGACAATATTCCACCTGGTGACATTAAAAAACTGATGGGAGACATGAAGGCCAAACCGGGACCAGATAACACAGGAAAGGAACTCACCATGGGTAGAGAAGCTCTCGGAGAAATGAATGAAAATGGAGAACTGTTCGCCGACTTCTGCGCCTTCAATGAACTAGTGATTGGTGGCAGCGTATACAGACACAAAGATATCCACAAGGCTACATGGGTGTCACCAGACGGGCGAACCGAAAACCTAATTGACTTCATCCCAACCTCAAGGAAGTGGAGGTGCAGCCTACAAGACACAAAAGTAAGAAGGGGAGCAGACGTTGGCTTAGACCACTATCTCGTACAAGGGACAATCCAAATCAAATTAAAAGCTTCAGAGAATCAGGAGCTGCAGATAGACCACAAGCCAAGTTCAACACACAAAAACTAAAGGATCAGGATACAAAGGACATTTTCACTGCAAGCATAAAGGACAAGGCCGAGACACAAATCAACACTAGCGAAAAGGTCAGCGTCGAAAAGCACTGGGAAAACTTGAAAACGGTGTGGAGTTAAACCTGCATGGAAGTTATAGGCAGAAAGAAGAGACTGGACAAACAGTGGCTCACTGCGGACACTTGGAGACTAATAGAAGAGAGAAGGACAGTGAAACAAAAGATTATCGAGTGCACCGACGACCAACAAAAACAGGAGCTGAATGCAAGCTACAATACACTGAACAAAAGAGTAAAGAAGAGTGCCAGGGAAGACAAAATAAAATATCATGAAACCATGTCAAGTGAAGCAGAACAAGCTGCAGGCAAAGGAGACCTCGCCACACTCTACCAAACAACTAGGCACCTATCGGGCAAAAATTCGACACAGATTAGGTCAGTAAAAAATGACAATGGAAAGTCAATCACCAAAGAAGCAGAGCAAAGAAGACACCGGGCTGAACACTTCAATAGACTTCTAAATCAACCGCCACCTACAACGCGCCCAACAATACCAACAACGGAAGCAGAACTACCAGTGAACATCGACCCCCCGACGAAATCAGAAGTCCTGAATGTAATCAAGATGCTCAAAGCTGGAAAAGCACCAGGACCAGATGGAATCCCAGCAGAAGCATTGAAAATGGACCCAGAGACAACAGCGGACTTGATAACCCCATTACTGGAGAAGGTTTGGAAAGAGGGCAAAGTACCCGAGGATTGGAAGAACGGATACTTACTCAAACTACCGAAGAAAGGAGACTTAAGTCAATGCAAAAACTGGTGTGGAATTATGCTCCTGTCCATCCCAAGCAAAATACTAAGCCACGTCATCCTGAAGAGAATCAAACAAGCCAACCTGGATGAAAAACTCCGACCGGAACAAGCTGGATTCAGAAGAAACAAGTCATGTATTGATCAAATCGCCACTGTACGGATCATCATTGAGAAAAGCTTAGAATGGCCGTCACCTCTCTATCTCAATTTCGACTTTAAAAAGGCCTTCGACAGCGCAGCATCGATCGAGAGGTGATTTGGCAACTACTTCGCTACTACAGGGTCCCATCGACAATTATACATCTCATCCGACAGTTATACGACAATGCTGCATGCCAAGTAATCCACAACGGGAAACTCACGGAAGCCTTCGAAGTGAGGATGGGAGTGAGGCAAGGCTGTATATTATCAACAATGAATTTCCTGATTGCAGTAGGTTGGATAATGCGACAGACAACGTGCAATGAGGAAACAGGCTTAAAATGGACTTACACAAAAAACTTGGAGGATCTGGACTTCGCTGATCATATATTTGAATAAGGCATTAAAGAAGACAAATTTCGCGAGATGATATCTTCATTTCGTAGTTTCTTTACAACCGCTTTACAGCTAACATGGTTAACAATAATAAAATAAAGTTCATGACAATAACTCAGTTGAATAAAAAAACAAAAGTACATACTAATGACTAATCATACTTAGATAGGTCATGTAGTCCAGGGTAAAGAAACTACGAAATGAAGATATCATCTCGCGAAATTTGTCTTCTTAATGCATTATTCAAATTTATCAAAGGGACTAATTGTTTCAATTTTCTCAACCGATGATATATGTTTGATTTCCCGAAAACTGAAAGATATGCAGGTGAAAAGCAACAAGTGGCCAGAAGAAGCATCAAAGATAGGAATTCAGGTGGACGTAGAGAAAACATAGGTGATGAAGATTTCTGGCCAGCAGCAACAACAACAATCAGCATAAATGAGAAGAATCTGAAAGAAGCAACCTCCTTTACCTACCTACCTACCTACGTACCCATCGTTTCATATACTGGCGGACGTTACGGATGGGGATATCAAAGCAAGGATCATCGGGAAAGCAACACAAGCTTTCATTACTCTCAAGTCTGTGTGGAGATCAACAGCACTCAACATCAAAAATAATATCCGGATTTTCAACTCCAATGTGAAGTCAGTCAGTACTACTTAACATATGGATCGGTGACTTGCATTGGGCGTCATGAGGAGCACCTCAAACAAACTACAGACCTTAATCAACAGCTGTCTTCGCTCAATACCACTCAAGATCAGATGGCCGGTCAGAAAAGATCAGCAATACGCATCTCTGGGAGCAAACGAGCCCAGCAGGAACCTATTGTGCAACAAATAATCAGGAAGAAATGGAGGTGGATTGGATAGGCCATACTCTGAGGAAACAAACCAACAAGTGACATCAGTAGACAAGCCATTGCTGAAGTGTAACCCGAAAGGGAAGCAGCGAGTTGGTCGTCAGTGTGAAGGTGACTTGGAGGAGGTCATGTGAAGAGTATATGAAGGCATGTGGATGGACTTGGAGCCAGGTGAAAACGTTGGCAGAGAACCGAACGCAATGGAGACGCTCGGCTGAAGCCCTATGTTCCTCTAGGAATTAAAGGAAATAATAATAATAAAAACCAATGGCTGGAGACAATCGGTGATATGATTCGAAATCCTCGTTCTGAATGGCGCAGATGCATCCACTCCTTGTGACTTATAATTTCCAATGGAACTGTATTGTTCTTCGTTATTACTATTCATTTTGTCTCATAACGCTGTTAACTGTCTCTATTTTGCATTCATTTTTACTTTCTTCTCTTGCTTTGTGTGTTACATGGAGTGTAGCAGCTCGACCAGCTGCACATCGGTGAAAAGTTCTTTGTTGAACCCAGTCAGCCAGTCAGTCTACCAGCGTCACTGAGATTTATAAGCTTGAAGACATATGTTCCACTCGAAACGCAAAAGGAATGAAAAAAAACAACTAAACGAATCAATAGGCCAACACTTTATTTTTTATTCATTGTTGAAAGAAGCTGACAGAGAACAGTGGTAACAACATTGTACTTTCAAAATATTTCAAATATTTTCGATTTGTTAACAAACGTAGAAAACTGCAGTGTATATATTCTCGTCAGTGAACGAGACATTGGAATTTGTAATCCTAATCAAATTAGTGAACACAATCATCAAATAAATACGAACAGCTAATCACATATTACATAGATGTGTGAAACAGCCAGCCAGGTACTGCAAGGATTCCACCATATTATAGTTGATAGTGTAACCGAAGAGATGACAAGCAATCGACTTGTGCACAAAAAGAAATATTGAAACAGTACACCACTAAAATGACAGTTTCCACAAAAAACAAAAACAAAGCAAACAAATTTCGACACACACACACACAACAATGAAGTTTTGAAAGGTTAAAATATCCCTTCATTTTATTTTTATGCAGTATTCATATTCCTCCAGTGAGGTTGGATAGAAAGAAAGAGAGAAGTGCACATATACATATACATCTGTACAATAAATACTGTTACGTGCTACAACATTTCACAAAGATAAAAAAGTGCGTCAAAAAACCAAATAATAATAATATATAGCTAAAAGTTAATTGTACATAAACTCATGAGATTTGCAAATGAGAATACTGCAAAAACCTGACATGAATGTACTTCATTCAGTTTGTTGTCAACAACAGCATGGATGGATGATGAATTCAAGGTAAAAATATGTTGTTTCTCGAAACACAAGAGATGGAATATATATAGTTTATAATAAAGTCATATATTATAGTAATGATTTCTTTAAACAGTTAACGGAATCTCGGACCACATGAATTGAGTGTCTTTTCAATAAATCCTTCTTTTTCTACTAAATAGATCAAATCGGAAAGAGTCTGTTCAACAGAAGCGCTTACAACACGAGCGGACATCTGAAAAGAAATATAAATAAATAAATAAATAAGAGTATACAATTGGTGGATGGTGGCTAGCAGTGGACATCGTCGAAGCATCTGCACAAGAAGCCGACATGTCAACCTGAGACCGAGCACTTCGGTCCAATCAATCGACGGGAAAATCAAAAATTCAATTCAATAAATAAATAAGAGGTTTTAATTCTTTTTCAGAATGGGTTGACAAAATAATTAAAAACATAGACATAGAGTATACGGTGTCGGAGTTAACTGATGAATAGATGAGATGATATACATTTGGTCGATACTACTGATTGATTTGAAATATTGGGAAACCACTCCTTGTAACTTATGATCTCCAATGAAACTGTTTTGTTCTTCGTTATTACTCCTTTGTCTCACACCTCTGCTCACTGTCTCTATTATGCTTTTCTTGTACTTTCTTCTCTTGCTTCGCGTGCTACACGCAGTGTGGCGACTTGAACTTCCGCACATTTGTGCAAAGTTCTATGTCGAAAACAGACAGACAGATTGGGAAACCAAGCACATCGACCAATCACATCTCCAGGTTGCCAGGGAAAGAGAGACGGAGAGATCTCAGTGATCTAAACTGGCCTGTATTGAAATCTCAACGTAGAACTTTACAGAAAACAGTGCACCAGAGTTCAGCTTACCACATAAAGGCAGGGGAAAAAATTCAAAGGTACTATGGTGAAGGGAAATGTACCGATTAAGAAGACTATTATTATTGTTTCCTCTAATCCCTAGAGGAACATAGGGCTTCAGCCGAGCGTCTCCATTGCGTTCGGTTCTCTGCCAACGTTTTCACCTGGCTCCAAGTCCATCCACATGCCTTCATATACTCTTCACATGACCTCCTCCAAGTCACCTTCACACTGACGACCAACTCGCTGCTTCCCTTTCGGGTTACACTTCAGCAATGGCTTGTCTACTGATGTCACTTGTTGGTTTGTTTCCTCAGAGTATGGCCTATCCAATCCACCTCCATTTCTTCCTGATTATTTGTTGCACAATAGGTTCCTGCTGGGCTCGTTTGCTCCCAGAGATGCGTATTGCTGATCTTTTCTGACCGGCCATCTGATCTTGAGTGGTATTGAGCGAAGACAGCTGTTGATTAAGGTCTGTAGTTTGTTTGAGGTGCTCCTCATGACGCCCAATGCAAGTCACCGATCCATATGTTAAGTAGTACTGACTGACTTCACATTGGAGTTGAAAATCCGGATATTATTTTTGATGTTGAGTGCTGTTGATCTCCACACAGACTTGAGAGTAATGAAAGCTTGTGTTGCTTTCCCGATGATCCTTGCTTTGATATCCCCATCCGTAACGTCCGCCAGTATATGAAACGATGGGTACGTAGGTAGGTAGGTAGGTAAAGGAGGTTGCTTCTTTCAGATTCTTCTCATTTATGCTGATTGTTGTTGTTGCTGCTGGCCAGAAATCTTCATCACCTATGTTTTCTCTATGCTCACCTGAAGGGTAAATGCATCTGCACCATTAAAAACGACTTTTTTAGAGTCGCGGCGACTGCAACCAGGCAGTCTGTGCATCCTGAAACGAAAATTTGAAGACTTTATCGTTTTTCTTTCTTGGAAGTCGTTTCAATTACCTAAACACATGATAATTGTCTTGTTCGTATGAAGAAAAGCTCGAGACATACATTTCTTAACTAATTTAGAGATTGATTCTTCCCAAAATAGTTTACTTAAATAGATTTCTAGAAGTAACTTTACCTATCCTCAATAAATAATGGTGTTAGGTTGGATAAAAATGAAAGAAATAATGTCAGATGAACGTCAATAGCGAAATGATTTGCAAGTGTTTGAAGAATTGGACTGAGGTGACTAAGTTTCCAACGCACAATATTTCAGATATACGCAACAGTACAAATTGACACAGTCTTTAAAACCACATGTGAATACGTGCTTTACGTTTCAAATACATTCGACCTCAGCTTGATTGCAGCAGGTAAAGTGAGTAGACACATTACACTCAAATTTGACTTAGCCAACTGTCTCTTATGTCCTAGCTGTCTGTCTGTCTGTTTTCGACATAGAACTTTGCACAAATGTGCGGAAGTTCAAGTAGCCACATTCCGTGTAGCACGCGAAGCAAGAGAAGAAAGTATAAGAAAAGCATAATAGAAACAGTGAGCAGAGGTGTGAGACAAAGGAGTAATAAAGAAATACAAAACAGTTTCATTGAAGATCATAAGTCACAGGGAGTGGATGCATCTGCGCCACTGAGAACGATTTTGAGCCATGTCACCAATTGTTTCCAACCATAGATTTTTACCGTCCCGAGGACCCCAGCCTGGAAGTCTACACCTTCCTACGTGGCTGGCTTAGACCAACTGTTGTGGATTTCATTGACTGGTGCAGCCAAGTTTTTGTTTGACCGCCGCTAGCTTTTTTCCAGCCTGATCCTATATCCGCTAACATTGCTCGTCGAGGGAGGCGATGGCTTGGCATACGTAACACATGTCCTAACCATCTCAGTCTTTGTAGCTTCACGACTTCGTCGATTGATTTCCCCTGTTTACCTAGAACTCTACGCCTAACCTCCATGTTGCTCACCTTATTATGCCACTTTACACGGGAAATAGAACGCAGGCACCTATGATCAAAGACAGCTAGTCTTTTCATGTCTTCCACTCTCAGTGGCCAGGTCTCACTAGCAGCCATAAAGGAGGACGGAGCGGACTGATGAGCAGTACACCCGCCCTTTGGTCGATAGTCGAACGTCTCGTCTACGCCAGAGTCGGCGTAAACTAACAAATGCGAAACGAGCCCCTTGTATTCGTGCTGATCTCTGACGAAATCTCAGCACGAATACAAGGGTCCTAGCTACCATTAGCCTTCTCTGTACAGTATAAACTAAAACATTTCTACACTTCTCACATCAAAGAAACTTTTAGGCCGACTACGTTTACCCTGAACAAACAGATAAACACGCAGAACTCTGCTGACTGACTGACTAGTTTCAACAAAGGACTTTGCACAGATGTGCAGCAGTTCGAGTCGCCACACTTCATGTAGTATAAAAAGCAAAAGAAGCAACTTAAACGAAATTCAACATAGAGATATAAGGCAAAAAGAATAGAAATAATAATAATAATTTATGTTCCGTATAGACTAGTGTTTACAAGAACATTATAGATTTATTGGTAATTGTAAGTCACCAGGAGTGGATGCATCTGCGCCAGCCATTGAAAACGATTTTGAGTCATATCACCGATTGTCTCCAACCATTGGTTTCGACCATCCCGAAGGCCTCCTCCCTCAAACGGCCTGGAAGTCTGAACCTTCCTAAGTGGCTGGCTGGGTGGCTTAAACTAACTTAACTGTTGTGGATTTAATGGACTGATAAGGCCATTTTTGGGTTTGAAAACAACTAGCTCTTCCCCAACCTGACTCATCCTATGCCAACTAACATTGTCCGTAGTCGAGGAATGCGATGAATGGCTAGGCATGTATACGTAACACAAGTCCTAACTATCTCTCTCAGTCGATGTAGCTTCACAGTCCCGTCGATTGATTTCCCCTCCTTACCTAGCAGTGGACCGATGTCTAACCTCAATATCGCTTACACAAAGAATACTCCGCAAAAGCTTCACGGATTTTTTTGTTGTTGTCCACACTCAAATTTTTTATTGTAGCATTATTTTATTTTCATTCCGTTTTTTTTTACATGATGCTTCGAAATGCAACAATTTCAACGGATTCAACACAGTGAAAAATTTTGCATTGATTTATTCATCTCTGAACTAACTGAACTAATCCACTCTCATTTTAAATAGCATTCCAAATTAGAAAAAAAAGCTTAACCTACAAGTTGTCTATTTTTTACTAACACTTACCGGTTGCCAATCTGGAAAATCATTTGGGGGATGTTTGAAGGATGGACCAAAATTGACAGAAACTGTGGCTGCCCTGAATATTGATATTGCTGGATAATAACTACCTGCGTAGATATTCGTGAAAGCTGTTCCCATACACTCACCATTACGATAAAATACAATCTATATTAAAAGAAAATAATATGAATATTGCTTAAAGTAAACACTCTTGATAATACACACAATTTTTTTATCATTTATTTTGAAACTAGACGCCAACAATGAAACAGATCTGTTGATCATATTTTTAGTTTGTACCAGTGGATTGTAGCTGTATTTTCAGGTGACCACTAACTTTTATAACTGATTATTTGTACTTCTATAATATAATATTGCATTCGGATTTTTATTCTAATATTTCGTATCGTTCGTTATCCAATAAGTTTGCTAAGTCCCCTACAAATAGTTTATAAGATTATAAATCTTTGAGAGGTCCATTTTTCACACTTAGCGACAACTGTACAGATTTAATCTTTAGGATTCCACAAGGATAGTAAATGAGTGTCCCAACCAGTGATCTACATAAGTGTGTGTACAATCATCACTGAAAATGCAAAACTACAACGATAATTTCATATTACATGGAGGATTTCATTATCAGCTGACATCAGTTAGAGAGCCACTGGGAAACCTGCATGGAGTACTGGACAGCTGTTTCCCCCGTCTTAGTTTGGGACTCATCAGCAGTACGCGCCCACCGGGGTTCGAACCCAGGACCTTCTGGTTACAAGGTGAGCTCGTAGACCATTGAGCCACTGGGACCCAATCCAATGGACCTTGAATACTAACTTCTGCCAATTCATGACATGGCGCGACCATTTCGCAATATCTTCTTCGATGACTTGCTGCCTCATCTTCAACCTGCTGTACTCTACTGGTCACGGCTTCCCACTAGAACCCCAGGTTAAGTGCCTGAATAGAGCCAGCCACTAGTGAGCATCAGATTAATTTTCAAGTATTGGTTTTGTAGGGATTTTGTTTGATTGCATGGAGGATTTCATCATGAGCGTACTGATGACGAGTCCCAAACTAGGACGAAACAACTGTCCAGTACTCCCAGGTTTTCCAGTGGTTCTCTAACTGCTGTCAGCTCATGATGAAATCCTCCATGCAATCAAACAAAATCCCTACAAAACCAATACTTGAAAATTTGATATTACGCAGTGAAATTCGGACAAATGGACACCAGATGTGTAGACACATATTAAATAAAATAATTTTAAATTGTCGTGCTGCCTGTAAACAAGGAATTATATTTCCAGATAAACACTTGGAAAGAATTACAGGAAGCTGATGAATTAATGACCGATAAGGAGACTCTAGAAGATATGGATTCCGCAGACAATATATGTGTCTGATGTCGAGGATTTGTAGGCGAAAACCAACAAACTGGCTGAAGAGACAGTGAAAACATGACTGTAGGTGAACATAGAGAAGACGGAAGTGATTAACATAACCAACCGACAGCAGCAGCAGCAACAACAACAACAACAACAACCAGCACCAATAACCATCAAAAGAAGAGATTACACAGAGGTTACCTCCTTCACTTCTCTAGGAAGCACCGTTTCAACTATAGAAATTTGGAATGAATGAAGATGACAAAGGAGGCTAGAATCGGAAGGACCTTCGTCAATCTGACATCAGTTTGGAAATCCTCTGCACTTCAGCATAAAGAACAAGATTTCTCAGGATTTTCAACATGAATGTGAAATCAGTCAGTCAGTTCTTCTATACGGGTCAGAAACTTAGCCAGCATGTCACGAAAAGTATTTCCGACAAGTCACTGCAGATGACTGGTGGTTTGCATCTTACACTGTTTGGTACCAAACAGTCACTGCAGACTTTTATCTGTCTGCATACTGAAGATCAAGAGGCCAGCCGGTTGACCAGAAAGAATTAGCTAAAAGAAACTTTCACTGGCTGGCTGGCTGGCAACAAACCAACTAGAAGCTAATCGCCCAACAAATGTGTATGAGAAAATGAAGATGGATCGGGCATTGATTGAGGAGAACACCGAATGAGATATCGCACACAATACATGCCATCGCATCGCTCGAGTACAATCCTAATAGGGAGCGACGAGTTGCGTGTTGGTTTGAGGGTGACATGGAAGAGATCGTGTGGCTAGGAAGAGCAAAGAGATTATGGGCAATCGTGGACCCACCTGAAGAGGACGCCAGAAAATAGAACAAAGTGGAGGTGTTGTTGAAGCCCTATGTTCCACTCGGAACCCAAAGCAATAATAATAATAATAATAATAATAATAATAATAATAATAATAGTAAAATGATGAATTAGAGATTGAATCCTTATTTTATTAATAACTATAATTTTCAGGTTTTATTATTTCATCACTGACGTCTTATAGGAATTAATCCGATTTTTTTCCTTCGCATACAAAACATGACAAGAAACAAATGCAATGAAGTGTGTATGAACCAGCTGCGTAGAAAATTTATAACATCGTCATGAACACGATTATATATATAGTTTCACTTTCAAAGATTGTGTGTGTATGTGTGCGTGTGTGTTTGTGGATTCATTTAGACCAGTGGGTGAAAAATATAAAAAATTGTAGAGATTAGTCCGACAAATCCAGGTGGAAGGATGGATAGACAAAGAGATAAGAGAAAAGGTTGAAATGCTATATTCACAGATAGGAAAAAATCAAGTGGATTTTTATCGAAATAACACACATATCACCCACCCACCTCTACATTCATTTAACATGGAAAGAAACCCAATCACATTTTTTTTAGCTGTTCACATATCAACTTAGTTCGCATATTAAATAAAGACACGATTTTTTTTTCGTTTTTAAAGTATCAGATTTTAAGCAACATGCTGGCTTTCAGTCTTCCATTCAACAAAATTCTGATCCTTCACACATGTTTATATAATCTCGCCTAGTTAACTAGCCAGTCCAAAGAAGTCCCAGTAAACAGACAGGGTTGGGGGTGTACGGATATCAACCACACACTACTAAACCTATCACCAAACTGCTAGACAAACTTCAGCACACAGTAAATATATACTGCAAATACAGAAACTTCAAATAACAACAATCTTACTCTTCGCTCGAATCGGAGAGGCGAAATGACACAGTGGGCTGGTGAAAGCTAGCCGTCGGGAAGCCAGTCAGCCAGTCTCCCAGTGTGTCTTCTCTCGATGAAAGCAAGAGTAGGAACGGGTAGGTGGAATGTCCGTACAATGTGCGAGACTGGGAAGGCTGTCCATTTAGCCAAAGAGATGGCTTAGAATTACTGAGTATCTGCGAAAGCAGATGGAATGGGTGTGGACTGGCAACATTGTTAACGAGAGAGTCAATAATCTACTCCCGTCTGGTCATCCGGACAAAAACCACGAGCACACTGAGACAGTGAGTAGGTGGCTACCATGATGTCACCAGTGACAGCCAAAGCCCTAATGCAGTGAAAACTGATCTCCTCATGAACACCATGACAACAAGATTCAACTGAAAAGGAAGGAAGGTCACAATTATCCGATGCTACACACAATGCTATAAACAACGCGGAACAAGAGAAGATAAACGATTTTTACAGACAACTACAAACAGTAATGGATATCAAAATCTTTACGGGCGATATGAATGTAAGCCAAACTGGGAACAGAAAAAACAGAAGAGAACTCATCATGGGTCGAGAAACTCTCACTCGGACGGAGAGTTATTCGTAGACTTCTGCTCTTTCAACAATTTGGTGATCGGAAAGAGCGTGTACAAACACAAAGATATACACAAAGCAACAAGGATTTAGCCTGACGGACATACTACAAACCAGAGATTTCACCTCAATGCTGTTCAAAGAAGTGGAGACGCAGCCTGTTGGATACAAAGTTGAGAAGGGGAGCAGATGTGGGCTCACATCATCACCTAGTTCAAGGAACCTTCAAAGTGAAGTTGAGATTCCTCAGAAGAACTGCAGACAGGGAAGAATCCAACTTCAAGGTCCGCATTATGTACGAGATTGGCAAAGCTGCCCAGGCTGCAAAAGAAATGAAAAGATACGGAATTCAAGTACTTGGGATATGTGAAAGCAGATGGAACGGGAATGGACTCAACAAATTGTCAACGGGTGAGTCAGTGATCTACTCCGGTCACCCTGAAGATAACCACACGCACACCGAAGGCGTGGTTATCATGATATCAACAGCGGCAACGAAGGACCTGATGCAATTGGAGGCGATCTCGCCCAGGATAATGACCGCCAGATTCAACTACAAAGGAAGGAAAGTGTCAGTCATACAATGCTATACACCCACAAACAATGCAGACTTCGAAAAGAAAGAAGAATTCTAAGGACAACTACAGGCGACAGTGGACAATACTCCAGTTGATGACATTAAAATACTAAAGGGAGACATGAACGCCAAAGTGAGACCCAAAATACACAAGACAAATATCCCGTTACGACCAATTGTATCACTCCCAGGAACTCCAACATATAATTTATCCAAAGAATTATACAGAAAACTAAAACACCTAATGGAATACCGCGATCACTCCATCAACTCTGCTATTCAATTCCTAGAGAAAATCAGAGACATCCAAATAGATGAACAAGAAATAATGGTATCCTTCGACGTGACAGTATTATATACCTCTATCGGACAAAAACTAGCAAAAGAAACCATGGAGCAATTACTTAGCAACGACGAACAACTTCCACAACAATCAAAAATGCAACACACAAGTTAAATGGAATGCATAAACTCATGCCTAACAATGTATTACCAATTCAACAGCCAAGTATATGAACTAGTTGAAGGAACACCCATGGGATCGCCAATATCAGGTTTGATTGCAGAAGCAGTGATGCAAAGGCTCGACAACGTAATCCTACCAAAGATCGAACCCAAAATTTGGATACGTTATTTAGACGACACATTCGTAACAATCAAAAGAAAGGAATTGGATAAAACTCACAACTTAATAAACGACGTCTTCAACGACACAAAATTCACAAGAGAAGATGAATCCGAGGACAAAATACCATTTTTGGACATCTTAGACAAGCGAAAAACTACAGGGGAATTAGAAACTCAAGTTGATAGAAAATCAACTCACACAGACCAAATCCTGAATTACAACAGCAACAATCCAATAACACACAAAAGGAATTGTATACAAACACTGTTCAACAGGGCGAGGACTCATTGCGGCACTCCCACCTTAAGGAAAATTGAAGAAAGATATCTCATGGACGTCTTCCAAAAGAATGGATATCCACGGAATTTCATCAAAAGACATCTCCCAAGCCAACTTATCAAGTCAAAGACCTAAAAAGAAAGCACAAAGAAAACTGCCCTACCGTACATAAAAGACATCTCAGAAATTACTCCCAGACTCTTCAAATTTTTAGGAATTGACGTAGCACACAAATCAACAAAATCACTTCACTCAGTTTTATGTCAACCAAAAGACTCAACAGCGAAAGAAGATAAAACCAACATCATCTACAAAATAAATTGTAACAACTGCGAAAAACGTAACATCGGCAAAAGTGGACGTCCCTTTCGTCTTCGTATCCGTGACCATAAGCTAGACGTCAAAATACATGACATCCACTCCCTTATATCGTCTCACTACATACACATAACCACGGACATCAATTTGACTGGAACAACCAGCGTTCAACTATTAGACAGAGGAAACACCAAGAATGCTAGAGAATTATTAGACGACTGTCTAGTATTCCAGTGAATCGTCAATCAACAGACACACCGAGATAGACAAAATTCACCAACCAATAAGAAGTAAATCCCACACACAAAGGGTTAAAGTTTAAGTCAAGGAAGCGATCAGTACCAATACAAGTGGACTAGTCGGTGTGAAGACACGCAGAAACAACCAGTCACGTTCAAAGTGACCCAGCAGGAAATATGACTAATAAACTACTCGTGGAGAAATCTAAAAGCTCACCTCAATGAATTGAAGTATGCGCTGAAGATGTTGCCTAATAGGGCAATGAAACTCATCCAGCTCAGAGAACACGACTATATCAAGAAGTTAATCACTCCATGAATGACTATGCAGTGTATATGTACGCTATAAAATAAACCCACTTTGGAAGTCAACTGTACCGCCCGGATTTTCTAATTTCGGTAGCTTAAATATTATCGTACAAAAAAGTGGAATGCATTAAACAAACTATTTCTGCCTTTTTGTTTGGACTCAATTACTCTGGATAACAGCCATACTTAATGTGTGACGGTTGATAAACCTAGTTGCCCAGGCTGAAACGAGAGGAAAGGGACATGAACTCATGACCCGTTAGCTGTGATCCTGGCTCTTAACCCGATATCAGTGACATCTATGCTAATTTGTTCTCTTTTCAACTCTACAGTACTGATTTAAATCTGCAACTTGATAGTTCCAGATATTTCCAACTCTTTAAAAAATTCAAGAGATGAAAGACGAATTCCAATGCATTTAAATCAGATTTCATAGAAAATGTATTCGAAAAATACTGAAATTCGAAGGTAGTTTTATTGGTCAGGTAAACTTAGAAATCATAGCTCTTACAGATAATTGGCAGCTTGTTAATTATCCTACTAACAAAAATAAAGTAGTATAAAAACATATCGCTCACCTTACTATTTGGTAGTGGACGCAGTGATTTTTCGGCTTTACTTGGATCATCTTTTTCTTCAAAGTAGAAGGAACTCCGAAACCTGATCAAAGGCTAAAACCAAGGGACAGAAGGACAACTGAATTAACTAAGCGAAGAAATAATACCTCTATCGGCAATCTATGTAAATGCAGGAAAGCAACGGGAGGAAATCAGCGATTTCACTCCCTATTTCCTCGCTAAAACATCTAATAAAACAAAGATATCAGATTTACAAATATATGAATATGTGGGTAAAATTACTATTATATACTCTTATTATTCCCTTGGGTTTCGAGTGGAACGGCTTCCTATCAGGAGTCAGCCAATGGTTTTCGTCTAATGACCTTAAACTGAATCCTTCTAAATGTCAGACTGTTGATTTCAGTTTCCGATATAAAAGAAAGTTAAATGAAGCTGTTGGTTCCTATAACCCTTGTAAAATTGATGATACTGATATAGAAACCAAGTCTGAAGTTCAGTATCTTGGATTGATTCTTTCTTCTGACCTATCCTGGTCTTCCCGTGTATTAGCGATTTCGAAAAGAATATTTCGTCTAACTTTTTACATAAAGAAGTTAAGGCACTCAGGCATAACCCAACCACTCCTCTTACAGTTTGTCAAATCGTGCATCTTATCTATTCTTCTTTAATGTTCACCCTTGCTTATTCTTTCCTGGATTGTTTAAAAAAAGTCTATGTCATACTTCGTAGGACTCTGAAGACTGCCAGTCAGTAGGACGAGTGGCATCCCATTGGGCCATATCGTTGACACCGTCATTGATGATAGGCACCTGATGTCATGCAACAAATTTGCTAGAGGAATTTTTTCACTTTACCCGCAGCTCTAACCTTGTGTCTCCTCAGGTAAAACGTCTAAGTATAAAAATTCCACTATATATTCCACTATATCATATTTGGCACGTACTTTATGTGATAAAAATAGTGTTAGGCATGAACCAACTAGCCTTCTTTGCACTACTAAATAAACCGTTTCCTCCACCCTTACAATATCAACTTTTATTGTTATTGTACTTCTTATATTTATAATCCTCTCGATTTTTTCCCTCATAAGTGTGAACATCGTTTAAGCTGTGGTATAACTGTTAATCTTGTATTTCCCCTCACCATGCTGCTATATCAACAGAACATTAGATTCAATAATCTATAACATGCTAAAATTTCCAAATTGAATCGACAATACTGTTTGAAACAAACTCACTGTTGTTATTATTATTATTATTATTATATTTACTATTCTCATTTTGTACTTCGAATGTTTTTGACTTTATATTGTAAACGTGGACAAATTCCTATGGTTAATTTTGTTTTAATTTTTAATTTTATTTATATTTTGAGTTAATCAGATGCAATATTGTGACAAATGCTGAGAATTCCATTCTGTATTATAAGTACTGTTTTTGGAATAAAGTAGATTATTTATTTATTATTATATTATTATTATATCCCTTCAGTGGCTCATCTTCATTTCACTCTGTTCTCTGAAGTCTTTTGTAACTGGCTGCACGACTACTTAGAAGCTTCTTTTCTTTTTAACCAGACGATCTTCTACATGTCACCTTAGGAAGTCCCACTTGCCGTTACTTATTCAGGCTCTACGTTAGAGTGTGATGTCACTCAACGATTTTCTCAGAGTATGTCCAGTCCATCCCCATTTCCTTTGGCACATTTGCTAGGGGATAGAATTCTTGTTTGGTCCATTGTTAGATTTCCTCAACGTTTATCCTTTCTAACCATCAGATCTTCAGCATCAAGCGAAAGCAGCTTGTTGGGAGTCTTTTTCGTAATGCACTAAATCTCTGAAGCATATATGGGAGCATTGACTTGACAGTGGTATTGAAAATCCAAAACTCCGTCATGCCAGTAGTGCCAGTAGACGTCCAATAATCTCAACCTTACCTTTGAAATCATAATTTGCGCTGCCTGTGCCTGTAGCTGGACAGATAAATCGGATTGCATTCAGCCACACGATTTCGGCTCAAAGTGAATTCACCACATACACCAACGAAACTTTCAAAATTGATTTTTTAAAAGACATAATTTGGTAAATCTATCAAGTCACTTACACGGTCTTTGTAAGTTTCAGGAAGAAAAGTAGGTGCAGGTGAATTATTATTACATTTCCTTGAATCTGTTGAGTTCAGCGTACCACTTATGCTAGAATGAACGTCATCCATCATGGGAGAAAATGTATTCATCAATTGAGGTGTGGAAGATTTTGAAGCTTGATTTTCTATCGGTGTGAAAGGGCCAACTGTTGACGGCAAATGTATTAAACAGCCAATGACATCATCCTTTTTATATCCACCATTCGTATAATGTTTACCGTGAGATTCATGAAATACAGTACCAAGACGTGAGCGCCAGGAATAGCTAAATTTGTCAAAACCACAAGGTGCTTGTAAATTACCTGGATATATATCAAGAGAGAAGGCAGTATTGAGCATCTGTAACTGGAAATAACTGTAGATCACAAAAACCAATACAAGTTTTTCTTAAAAAAAAGACAAGCATTAACATGTTTTGACCGTCTCACAGTCAAGTAGTCGAGTTAAAACTTAGATACAAGCTTTAAAAGACTAAACAGACAGTCGAAGACAAACCAGTAGAATCAAGCTGTAGTAGCGAAGAAATCTCAGCACACAACAGACTAAGATTGGGCTAGTAAATTCACAGTGCTGGACAACTACTCATCTACTCCTAGCGAGTAAATAGTTCGATGTGGCATAATCTATGCTATTCACTGCAGGACATTACGAGCAGGTAGGCATTAATACATGCTTTCCATAACATAAATCATTTATATTACTTGTGTATATATATATATATATATATATATATATATATATATAACGATAATGTCTGAACTAACTTCTTTTGGATGCACAAATTACTCTTTTTAATATGGATCCCAACAGTCAGCCTCAGCAATATTTAGTAGTCGAACTCTTAAGGAAAAATTGTGATTTTTCGGTATGCAGTTAATGACTATGAAAGCCTCCTTGTTAACATCGATCTTGTGTTCTGTATCCACAAGATGAGAGAGAATAGCGCTACGAATAGATCTTGTTTGTCCTTTACTTAAAGCACGCAGGATGATGTTCGGAAATCCGACGAGAAACACGTCTAATTGTACGATCTATGTAACTGGCTCCACAGGAGCAGTTTAACTGGTAGATACACATGAAAGAGGAGAAATAGGCAGTTCATCTTTTACTCCTGAACGCAAAAGAGGCGTGATTTTGAAGACATAGAGTAATTCAGCAGCAGGGAATGCTCTTTTCACCGCCTCATTTCTAAGGCTTTGTGTTAGTATCTCGCTGATGTTGTCCCCAAGGAACTGCATTTGTAAGAATAAGGCTTTTTTAGGAACTCTTGGTACCCTGAGCTGCCTTGAATTTAGGTTCAGATTCTCATCAATAAAGTTTTCTGGAAAACTGTTTTCACTCAGCAACCATTTGATATTAGTAAGTTCCTCATCAAAACAATCATCCGAGCAGATTTCTTTTGCTCGGTGGAACAAACACTTTATCAGATTGCGTTTGTATTTCAAGGGCACGAAGCTGAGAAAATGAGTATACTGACCCGTTGATGTAGGTTTTCTATATACACTTCTTCTTATGGCGCCAACCTCTTTACTGGTCATAATGTCATCTAGAAATGAAATACTAGAGTCTTTCTCTTCCTCAATAGTAAAATTTATTGCATGATGAACCTCATTAAATTTATCCAGGATGTTCTTTGCTTCCTTCTCATTTTTCATACTCAAAAATATATCATCCGTGTACCGACAATAGAATTCGAGTTCATTAATAACATCCTTCCAAGGCCCATATTCTAGTTCCGCGAGGAAAATGTCGACTAGAATGGGTTCTATTGGTGACGTCACTGCCACACCGCCGATTTCCCCATATAGTTACTTATTAAATAAAAAGTGGACATTCATTGTGCTTTTGAAGAGAAGCTCTTTCGTAAAAGATATAGGAATGCCAACATCAATGTTTCGTCTTATGAGTTCATAGCATACAAAGTCCACTGTTTCCATGAGTGGTACATTGGTGAATAAGGAAGATACGTCAAATGATATCATGAACTTATTGTTAACATTTAAATCTTTTATCCTTTCAACAAAACCAAAAGTATCCTTTACACTGTGTTTCACCAACTCGGTATGAAGAGTTCGACTAACCATTTGGCTGGTATTTGGATGGTATCGTGAATTTAGCATATCTAATAATGGTCGAAGCGGTACACCATTTTTGTGCGCTTTAGGCGAGCCATATAGTCTTGGTGTGAACATTCCAGTGAGCTTAAGTGATGTATAATGAAAAAAAAGTTTGATTGCATTAAAAACTACAGATTCTTATACTGACTCATTTCCATAGTGTTCACCAATGTTTGTAAGAGGGACAAACATTGCCTAATTATTCGACCGAAACGTCTGACAGATAAGCATTCATGGCATCTACCTTATTTTACCCGGCAGTTACAACTTGTATAAATAGGGACGACAGAAATTTCAATACTCACCATACACTTGAGACCAGCCAATTCGAGTTGCAGAACCTTCTGGTTGTTCTGTGATGATTGCTTCAAAATACCAGGTACCCGAGTGAACGCTGTGAGTCGCTCTAGACATACAGTATCCTTTATCGCCAGTAACTGATAACTGAGATTCGTGTACTTTCAAGTGATTCGCTATGAAGAAGAATAAAAAAAAAGTAGTAAAGGACAAGAAAACAACAACAATAAAGCCTGTCTGTCTGTTTTCGACATAGAACTTTGCACCGATGTGCGGCAGTTCAAGTCGTCACACTCCCTCCTTGTAGCACACAAAGCAAGAGAAGAAAGTAGGAGAAATGTATAATAGAGACAGTAATCAGAGGTGTGAGACAAATGAATAGTAATAACGAAGAACAATATGGTTTCATTGGAAACCATAAATCACAAGGAGTGGATGCATCTGTGCCACTGAGAACGATTTTGAACCATATCACCAATAGTTTCCAACCATTGGTTTTTACCGTCCCGGGGACCCCAACTAGTCAGGAAGTCTACACCTTCCTACATGGCTTAGACTAACTGTTGTAGATTTCATTGACTGGTGCCATGTTTTTGTTTGACCTCCACTAGCTCTTTTCCAGCCTGACTCTGTATCAGCATCAATAAAGTAATCATAAAGGACTGAAATTCAGATGAAAAATGTATGCTTTTTTATACAGATGTTTAAGTAGTACTGTCTGTCTGTTTTCGACATAGGACTTTGCACAAATGTGCGGAAGTTCAAGTCGCCACATTCCGTGTAGCACGCGAAGCAAGAGAAGAAAGTACAAGAAAAGCATAATAGAAACAGTGAGCAGAGGTGTGAGACAAAGGAGTAATAAAGAAATACAAAACAGTTTCATTGAAGATCATAAGTCACAGGGAGTGGATGCATCTGCGCCACTGAGAACGATTTTGAGCCATGTCACCAATTGTTTCCAACCATAGATTTTTACCGTCCCGAGGACCCCAGCCTGGAAGTCTACACCTTCCTACGTGGCTTAGACCAACTGTTGTGGATTTCATTGACTGATGCCAAGTTTTTGTTTGACCGCCGCTAGCTTTTTTCCAGCCTGACCCTATATCCGCTAACATTGCTCGTCGAGGGAGGCGATGGCTTGGCATACGTAACACATGTCCTAACCATCTCAGTCTTTGTAGCTTCACGACTTCGTCGATTGATTTCCCCTGTTTACCTAGAACTCTACGCCTAACCTCCATGTTGCTCACCTTATTATGCCACTTTACACGGGAAATAGAACGCAGGCACCTATGATCAAAGACAGCTAGTCTTTTCATGTCTTCCACTCTCAGTGGCCAGGTCTCACAACCATAAAGGAGGACGGAGCGGACTGATGAGCAGTACACCCGCCCTTTGGTCGATAGTCGAACATCTCGTCTACGCCAGAGTCGGCGTAAACTAACAAATGCGAAACGAGCCCCTTGTATTCGTGCTGAGATTTCGTCAGAGATCAACCCGTTGGGGCTGATGGTACTTCCCAAATAAGTGAAGCGGTCAACGTGCTCTACCACTTCACTTCCTATTTTTAAACTAGGCGTCGATGTAGTCCAGTCCTGTAACATCATCTTGCATTTGGCGGGAGCGAATCGCATGCCAAACATTCGTAGATTGCGGCTCAAGGTGTTTAGAAGACTCTGCATTTCGTCAGCGTCTTCGCCTAGAAGGACTATATCGTCTGCATATTCCAAGTCAACGAGATTATTCCCCGGTAGCAAGTCAATCCCTGAGTCGCTGAAGTCACCTAGGGTTAAGTCCATTAACACATCTATGATGAAGTTGAATAGAAAAGGAGATAATGGGCATCCTTGACGGACACCACTGGTCGTCATCAGTTCAGATGACAGCTCGCCGTAAGCCCTCACCTGGCTGTATGAGTACGAATAGAGTGCCTTAATCAGTGCAATATATTTTCTCGGAATTCCCTTTACAGCCAAGCATCTCCAGAGAACTTCCCGATCGACAGAGTCGAATGCTGCCTTTAGGTCAAGAAATATAATGACTGTTGGACGCCGGTAGGAATGCCTATGTTCTAGAATCTGTCGGAGGGTGAAGATATGATCAATACACCCTCTTCCTGGTCTAAAGCCTGCCTGGCTCTCTCGTGTTTGTGCTTCCCGAGCACCACTCAGTCTACGCATGATTATTGAGCCTAAGACTTTAGATACTATATTAGTCAAGCTAATCCCTCTGTGATTATCACAGGAAGACTTGTCTCCCTTCTTGTATATGGGGATAATCAGTGACTTACACCAACCCGATGGGACTTCTTCTGATTCCCAGACGCTGCCTAGTACCTCAGTTAATCCGGACAGTAAGCTGTCTCCACCGTACTTAAATACCTCTGGCGTCATTCCATCAGGTCCCGCTGCTTTGCCTAGTTTCAGATTGGTGACAGCTTTAGTAACCTCAGTTAGTGACGGAGGACCTGTGTTTATATCCCATTCAGGGAGGTGTTGGATGCTCGGAAGGTTGAGCGTGGCTGTGGGCAAATTAAACTGCTCCTCATAATGCTCTTTCCAACGATCCAGTCGTCTATCCTGGGAGCTAATTATAGTGCCATTTTTTTCCGAGATTGTCTCACTAATGATTTGTCTTCTCCCACCCGTTTCCCTGATGAGTCCAAAGAGTTGCCTGGTGTTGCCTATCCTCAAAGCTTTCTCCATCTCTTTGGCTTTTGTCGCCCACCACTGTTCACGGTCCTTGCGGAGACTTTTCGTAAGTTTCCTCTTGTGCAGCTTTCGCTCCTCATTGAATTCGGAGCTCGCCGGAATAAGTCTTCTAGCATCTATCAGTTCGGATGAGGCGGTGGAGATCCAGTGGTTTTTACTCACCTTTGGGTTTACCTTATTCACAGCTTTTACAGCTGTATCTATGGCTGCCTGGATATTTTTCCAAGCTTCTTCAGGGTGAGCACAGCTGTCGAACTCAGATATGTGTTAAGTAGTACAATCATTAGTTACACTGGGTAGAGGAGAATGATGGTCAGGAAGGCTTTGTGTGCTTTTGGAAGTGCGTGGGCGGTTGTTACTTGCCAGCTACCCAAACAACCGTGGAAGTTGGTTGATTCTTTGGGTACCTGAAGGGTTGGTGTTGTGTGACCACCGAGCCCAGGGGACAACTGCTTGAGTCCAGTCACACACGGCCTGTATGAACTGATTTCTGGGATTGGTTCCGTATTAGTAAACTCATAACCGGTTACGGACTACCGGAGGTTGAGTCGAGGGGTACAATTGTTGGGGTCGACATTTTTTGGCTGCCTCTCTCCAGAGTGGATAGACAACATAGCTGGCTGGCATTCTGGTCATCTGAGGGAAACACTGTACTGCTGTTACCTGCTTCGCCGGTTACGGACCACCGTAGGGTGATTCAGGATGTACAATTGTTGGGGTCAACATTTTCAGACACCATAGCTGGCTGAGATGCTGGTCATCTGAGGGAAACACCTCACTGCTGTTACACCCCTGTTCCCCAGCAGTACGATTTCGCCCTCCGACCCCCAGCATATTGTAGAAAAAATAAATTCTTACACTATGTCAGCAACTGCTTTTAGTCTAACGCTATCCTAACAACCTCCCTGGGATGGTAGGACCCGCAGGAACATTGGTTCCAGAAAGTGTAGCTTGTTGGATCATCGCGATGTGCAAGCCCGACCACTACGCCAAGGTAGCAGCTATCGGTCGGGCATTAGTTATGCCTGTTCAAATGAATAATAAACAAGTAAATTCAAATGTTTTCTACAAACTTCACGTTGTTCAGGTTCAGGATGCTAAGCAAAATGTACAAACTTGAGGGTGTAAATGTAAGGGTAGAAGGCGAAAGATTTGGTAAGGAATGTTTACTCGGAAATTGGTCTCTCTATTATAGCCAAATTATGTACACCTTATCTTCAACGCGCTATTTGCACAAATCTTCCGTGTTGTAGTACTTCTAGCCTTCTTATTGTGTTTCTCTGTTTCCCTTCCAAATCTCCTGTGTATCTCTCCAACTATATTACTATAGTATATGTTTTTTTCCTTCACGCTTTCCCATTGGAACATAGGGCACCTTCAAGCTAGAAGCTTGAAGTTTCCTATAGCAGTGATGTTTATGTTTACAGGATGAGGTTGCTAGTCTCATGCCTAACCTTCTCTCTTTACCAGTTTTATTACTGGCATATATGTTTTTTTCCTTCACGCTTTCCCATTGAAACATAGGGCACCTTCAAGCTAGAAGCTTGAAGTTTCCTATAGCAGTGATGTTTATGTTTACAGGATGAGGTTGCTAGTCTCATGCCTAACCTTCTCTCTTTACCAGTTTTATTACTGGCATAGCGAGGTAAGGGGGGAGTGCGTCGGTGGCCGGGGACCGAACCCAGCACCATGTGCATGGTCGGCAAGCATGCTAACCGCTATGCCACCGACGTGTATCTGTATGAAATTAAGATAAGAGAAAGAAGTTTATAAAAGCATCCAAGAATATTATGGAATGTGTTAGAAAAGAAATCTTGGTATAAACAGAAAATAATAATAATAACAATAAGAATAGGTAGTTGAACATTTGAAATTGATTTATTCACCTAAATTATTCATTCATTCATTCATTAGAGTGGTATCGGTGATAAAGTTGGCATTGGACTCCATTTTTTATATGAAGTTGATATACTAGGCGGTGATATTGGAACTGATGTTGTTGTTGTTGTTGGTGTTGTACTGGTCATCGAACTAGTAGTGATGATGAATGCATAACACCGTCGATTAATTCATTTGGTCTCGGTGTTGTATACCATCGACCACTTGGTGGTAATAGATAAGCACAATGTTTTATTAATAATTCAATTAATGCATGTTCAAATAGTGTACCAGCTAAACAACTTATAGGATCTGTATACGATGAACTTAATAATGTTGGAGATAAAACAATAGCTAAGTTAGCAGTAGTCATCATATTGATTTCTTGCTTTTCAGCTACCCTGTGTATATCATTGATAAAGTAACGTAAACTTTCATAATGAGCACCTGGTAATCGAGAAAACACCTTCTTCAATAAATCAAGCTTTTCTTGTTCCACTAGTCGGTCATTACGAACAACATAAAGTAAATCTGGATAAGCTTCATTGGTGATTAATGGGACAGGCGATTGACGTAGAAATGATTTAATCAAACTTGTCAAAGCATTGATATCACGTACATGAGCTTCAGATATATTGGCTAATTCTGGATCTTTATCAAATTCAATACGTAATTCTTCGACTAGATCATAATTTCCATGGATACGATAAAGACCTTCACAGAATAATCCACCACGACGTTCTATTTCTTGAATACATTTAATGAGAAGTGTTGGCACAGCCTTATTTTCAGCTCTTGCTAAATTAGTCAAATTAACACCGAAAACTCGTTTCATTTGCTTAATATCAGGTACACAATTACACAACCACGTATAGTATATATATTACTCATAAATCTTATCAGTAGCACTCGCTACTATAAATGACTATTAAAGCGACAGAAACTACTAAAAGACTGAGTTGTTTTTAAAACAAAAGTTCATGATTTACAAATGAAATAAGTGCTGTTAATAAAATGCATGAAACACCCATATAAATTCTAAAAATTTAATAATCATCACATATATATATTCGCATAAATTCATATTTTTTTCTCAGAACATTGAAGGCAAACAAAAATTTCATGGGAAACATAGATAACACCTATGAAATATATATATATATATATATATATATATATATATATATAACAAAGATAAACTTACCACGATCACTCAGAGACAAGACCACTTGCGAACATATAAACACACGGTAGAATAAGCCAGGTATGGGCTTTCCAGCTGTGAACTCACATTCATCCCACTGCTCTCGACCAGGAGCATGTTTGTCTGGTTCAACTAAAATGTAACTGAAGATAAGAAAACCAAGCTATCAGCAGATGTGATAGTTGTTTCGTGGTAGTTAAGTAATCCTGTACACTATTCATCGTGTTTCAACACACCAGTAACTGATCTAGATATTTCATACATTTGGTCCCCTTGATAAATTTCGATAGAGGAAGAAAGACCAGATTTGCAGTATAAAATGAAATCATCATCCTATTTCACAGGTTCTCATCAGTTGCAAACTATCTGAAATTACAATGGTTATAAGTAGTGACATTTCATACTTCAATTTTTGAAAGGTAATAAAGAAAAAATTATAAGATGAGCACATCTTTATTACCTTTCAAAAATTGAAGTATGAAATGTCATTACTTATAACCATTGTCATTTCAGGTAGTTTGCAACTGATGAGGAGAACCTGTGAAATAGGATGATGATTTCATTTTATACTGCAAATCTGGTCTTTCTTGATCCAGATTTGTTACATCATTTTAGCGATGGATTCAGGATATCCTATTAAGCACTCTGTATCTCATTCCTAATCAGTAAAATGCTACTAAAATATCTTAAGTGACCATTGTACAACTAAATCAGCTCAAAATCTTGGACATCTATAGGTCTGTGTAATCGAAGATGAAATTTTATATAGCACAATGAGTTCTTTGTATTTTTGGAATGGTACCAAATTTAAGCTAAAAAATTGGGAAGTGAAATAAAATGCAACTCCATTCAGTTGGCGGTGGGCCACACCTCTTGTGTGGAGGACTGGTGATACCAGCTAACTTTCAAAACCTCAGGGGATGCGGAGGATTTTGAACCCGTGACCGAGTGGTTGGAAGTCTAGCACTCAAGTCTATGGGCCAAAGCTCCACATGTTAGAAATATAAGGGGATGCAATTTACGGAATAACTTAATGATAAAGACTAGGCACTCCACACCTTTTAATCAGTACTAGTTCTTTAGAAAGTCTGAAGTTTAAACGTGCTACAAGGAGGGAGTGTGGCGACTTGAACTGCCGCACATCGGTGCAAAGTTCTATGTCGAAAACACACAGACAGAGGGCGAACAAGTAAAAGCAATATCAAACAAAAACAACTGCTTAATGATTTCTGCTTTCAGTAATCCTACGACTGGTGTAAACATGTGGCAAAATCTGCCTCAGAACTAATCAAATATGCACAAGCGTAAAATCTGCATACATTTATTCAAACACAAAACTGATAAAGTGAGTCTCAAGTATAAAAACATAAAAACAAGAAAATAACATCTACGGTGACACCACGAACAAAATCATTCTCATCAAGGGCATTTACCACTTTTTATAATTACTGACAGTAAAAGAAACGTAAAATAAACAACATTTTGAGAAATGACATCATTTCAAACCACATACGATTTCTCAAGTCAGAATCGCCATATCTTTTTGAGACTATCTTGAGTGACTGGATACAGAAACTGATGCAAATTTAATGAAAAAATATGCCCTAAACTAGTGCCATGTCTCTGTGTTTTCAAGCCAGTCACAGGTTTAACAAATTGATATGAAAATTGGTACGAAGACACTTAGAACAGATATCCAAGTCATCGAAATCTATGTCCCAATACAACTAAGCAGTAATTTAAGACAAAAAGTTGCGGTAGATTTCCAACCTGAGAATACTAGATATCTAAATCCAATAGGAACGTTGCCCACTCACTCAACCTTCAATTAGCCAATTGATGTCACATCAGAGGTGGCTCAAATCGAAATGACTCACCATGGCTTTAATAATAATGATATTGACTTTATTTCAAACAGTAACTTTAATAAAATGTGAAATTTTCAACATGTAACGCAATATTGCATTTAATTTTGTCCCTGCACTACATAATAAGTACATGGGAAAATAATTCACAGGACACTTACATTGGTATCATTGGCCACTGATAGTACGGATTTAAATTTATAATGGGAATAATAATCACAACAATATATTGATCAAAGAACGAACAGAAAGGATAGTTTGCTCAGTATTTCGTAGTAAGTTGATAGTGTCATGGCCTAACACTTCTCTCATCACATAAAATACGTGCTAAATAAGACATTGTAGCGTTTTGTACTTAATCATCTCAGCATAAAGTCTACCATAGTTGCTTCTAGTTCTACCTCATGAAATGTAAGGAGAGAGTTGTGCATCGAGATGCTCAGAGTCCGATAGGATGACATCTGCTAATTTCCTAAATGAGTTCGAGTGTCTGTCTACAATAGTATTAAAAAGTTGGTTTAGCAGTATCCCAATTGCCCAATTGACAACTTTTAGTGACATTCGCAGTGTAACAAATTCTTTCTTAAGTAGCTCAAGGAAGACTAAGTGGTGGGGAGCAATGAAGAAGAACAGATAGAATACAAGAACTGACAAACTTAGAAAGTGGAAACTGAGCAATACCAGATTATCTTTCGATATGCAGTTTTAAATTTTAATTGTCACATTTCCGTAAATAATCGGAACAGTTCTTAATAACACCGAATACAATTTAGCCAACGCCCAAATCCATCCAAACCATCACTTCTGAACTTGGTTTAAACGTCCACAGTTCATATAGTCTTTAAAGTTCATTCAGGCAAATTACAATCGGAATTGTGGTCTATTAAATTACATACATTTTGTCAAGCGAGCTCTAATGTTTACTGGATTAAAACTCCAAGTGCAAATGTTTATAAATCAGATATACGTAACGAAAGCTCAAATACAAATTAAGAAAATCAGGTTAGTTTATGAGAATACGTCGGGTAGGGTTAGCGCATTCATCAATGTCAAAACATAATTCTACTGGTCACTGATTCAATGCTGTCAGTTACCCAGGGCATATTTTTTAGACTTTCTATTACAATACTGATGGGAAAACAGACAGCTGAAATAAGTACTCTGTTTCACCACATTTCGTCTATTCTGGTCAAGTAACTGCTTGAATAAGGCTGAAGAGAAGACCAAACTGAAACTCCACATTCAGTGGTAGCTGGGTGCACGGATCACTTGCATAAAAAGCTGTTTCTGATACACCAACTGGCACCTGGTGCAACCACATGACCAAATTAAGTGTGAATTCATACTGGAAAAAGAACCAAAGCTACCAAACACTTACATTTGAGGAGTTAGCAACATTACGTAGAATAATGACTTTTAAGAAATAGGTATGTGAAGATGAACAAACGGAGCCAGTGTGAATGTTTAAAAGCTTAGGTGCGCAAGCATATAGTCAAAATACGACACTTACCGATATCCTTCTCTATTTAGCGCATGATCTATTGGAAACCCCAAAGCATTCAACTTTACACGTCCTTCATCAGAAACTGCAGCTCCACTCAGTGCAGTAGTCCCACCAAGAACAGACGTTAAAGTGGCTCGGCGAGTTGAACGCACCAAGCCACTTGGAGAAGCATTGTTTACTTCATTGGATGACGCAGAAGCTCTCATACCAGGGAACGTTGAAACTTCAGTAGTAGACATACTCCCCGAAATTTTGCCTTCTGAAGACGTGCCAGGCATAAAAGATGATACAGAAAAACTACCCATTCCACTGAATAAACTACTACCCGGAGATCTGCGTTTACGCCAAGTAGGTTGATCCACACCATCAATTTCACCACTAAAAGGAAACTGGTTGCCAGCTGACGAATGATGCAGGAACTGATCTGCAGTATCGGAAACAGCACCCGACACCGAAGACTGATTTTGAGACACACTGGCGGGAATGTTTGCGGACGGGACACCCAGTTTAGTAATATTTGTCCGCAACTGGCTTGTAAGAGCACGAAATCGATCATAACTCGGACCAATTTTTGTGAGGTCCTACAGAAGTAAATGCAATACGCCAGTGAGCATTAAAACCCCGTCTATTTTTGGGAAAACTACCAAACCTGAGAAACAATTGGGAGTCTTACACTGGACTCTTCTCAGAGAAAAATATTAGGGTACGTAAAGCGATTGCGCGTCGGTGGCACAGAGGTTACGACGCTCGCCGACCATACGCATGCTCCGGGGTTCGATCCCCGGCCGACTCACTCCTTTACCTCGCCAAGCCAGTAATAAAAAAGCTGGTAAAGAGGAAAAATTGGGCATGAGGCTAGCGAACCCATACTGTAAAATTAAACACTGCTGCAGAAACTTCAAGCCACTAGCCTGAAGCCCTATGTTCCACTGGGAACGTGAAGGGAAAAAAACGCGATTGTACCTCAGGCACGTCAAACTTTCTTTAGCATACTAAACGATCAAATTTAATTCTGGTACACGTCAGACAGTGAATGCAAGTATGTTCGTCTCACTTCGTTACATAAGTGTAACACGGAAACAGAGATAAAAATGACTACATCACGTTACCATTAAAACAGAGCTTAATGATTCAACTCATGCCTAATGGTCAACATTAGGTCGCCAGTTGCACCACCAAACTTCACATGAAAAACAGCTTCCAGCCTGAAATGTCTCCCGTGTTAGCATCCCTACCTTTGGCATCAGCCTCACGCTAACCACCTTCCCCTACTACTCATCCATGGTGTTCCAGCGACAGATGATAACATTACCGATCAAAGGAGAAAACGAATGGCCTTATCCCAACATGGATACTTTGCGATGGTCTCCAAAGTCACTGTTTTTTAATTTGTCAGACCACATTTGCAAATCTAGGCAAGTAAGGATAGTCGCCGCATTTTATCTATAACTTTATAAATTTCATTGCAATCATTTGAATACACTTAGACAGCTACGTTTTACGTTCCCCACTTGATTTTTTCGGAAATGAGTAGTGATTCCACAGTTAATAGTTCAAAGATATTAGCATGCTAGTTAGATCCTTACCGTATTTGATAAGCACACGTAGAGATCGTCTGGCATTTCTACAGTTTTGAAAACATCACTACTAGTCTGACCATAGATTAACAGAAATAACAAACCAAAGTTTTATGGATGTTCGGATACCATGAATTATTGGACTTCCTTGGCTGTGTTGTGAGTTCTTCCCAACACTCCTCAAGAAAAGGTATGAGTTCCTTAGATTCCATAAAGTATAAACGACCGCCATGCCTCAGCATTAGATTTGCCAAAGCTGTTTGACACATGACGGTAAAATTAGCCTGCTTCCTAGAAAAAACCTCCTCTCCGATAGCATTGCACTTTTTGCACATGAAGTGGTATGCAGTAAGAAATGGCAAAGCTTTCCTATTGGAGAACAGACAATAAAATCACATGCATGAACATACCCTATGTTGAAAGCAATACATTCCAGGTGAAACCACTTATAACATACGCTACACTGAAAATCCGGTCTGCTATAATCACGCGGCATCATACTAAAATGTAGACAATGGCACAAATGGCAAACTAACCAGTAACATTGTGGGCCAGGAGGTGTCGGTATATTTATTACCATTGCCAAGAGCATACTCAGGTCATCTTGGTCACAGTCCATTTTTTCTACGTTACTCGTAGTTTCGGAATTGTTTTTCGATGAATTTGAATTATCCCTTACAGTCTAGATAATGATGTATACATAATCTAAGCAATCCACAAACCATCTTGGGAACAACAAAGGCTACAGTAGCGAGCTACTTCAAAAAAGACTAGTCCAATATCTTTTTAAAGGATGGACTTATCCGGCATGTTGGTTGAAATTCTGCTTGGTAAATGTTTTTGTGAATAAATTTTAATAAAATTGTGCTACATGCTTTCTGGATTAATATAAATTCTCATTTCTCTTGATGTCCGCTTCATGCGATCCGACTGCGAAACACTCTTAGCATATTGGTTGCAGTGATTAGTGTTTCAGACAATGTATCGAAATCTTGCTGTAATGAGCAAGATATTACAGTTGGGGGGGGGGGAACTTCATCCACACAAATTGTCCATTTTATGTAGAAGCTACACCTTTCGGCATGGTGTCATTCCATGAAAGTTTCACATCTCAGGACATCAGAGCAGGACATTTTTGTGGAAAAAAACGGCACTACTTGACGAGTTAATGCTATCAGTATATGAAGGTGACCTATAAATGCTAACAGAACCTTGTGTGGGAACGAAATTTATCATCCATAAATGTCTTCCACCGTATGTGTGTTTGCACATGAATTATCGCAAGTTGAAAGGTTAATTCTAGGTGGGTTTAACTGATATTTGTACTGACATGTGCGGTGCAATATGGGTTATGCGGATTCGATGTATAAAAGATAACCCTACTTTAATAATATTGTCCCACTGTGTGCTCAGCTGACTTCTAGGCTAACAAATTTAGGTGGTTCTCACGAATGTTGCAAGTGAAGCGCAGTGGAGGAAGCAATTACTCGTTCAGTTTTCCACACTGTTTCACTTAATACATCAATTCAGAGTATGGTATTACTATCTTCAAAAATAGAGTTGATTGGTACAACTGAATGAAGTCAAGTGTACCATATTTGGAGAGGTAAATAATTCCCCAAAATTATTGAGCAAAATAATAAACTAAACACTGAACAATAGATACTGACCTGCAGCAATTAAGTGAGCTTGTCAGGCAGAAAGGAAGCGACCGTACATAGAGTTTGGGAAAGGCCATTTCAGGGTTGAGAAACCATTTGTGAGATTCGGGACATGTTTTTGATTCCGTCAAACCATAACCATCCGCTGATGAGTGTAGCTGTTGTGCCCGGCTTTCATGTGCTTCTTCTGCTGATGTTACTATTTGTCTGTGGGCTTGCATCGGAAGATTGCAGATCCTAAGAAGAGGCGTGAAGTTGGGGGAGGACGCTATGCTGCGTATGAGCGGATTCCTGTTATTGAGCAGTGCCTCGATTCTTTTGCGTCTATGGCTTGGAATCGTTGTTGAGAGATTTATGATTCCCAGGCCTCCCTTTTTGATATCAGCGTGGAAAAATGCAGTCGGAGTGTCCTTCGGGAGGTTAAACCATCGGCTGACAGCTGCACGAGTAAGTTTGTCCATCGTTTTCAGGGTATTCTTGTGAGTGATGCTGAGAGTCAGTGAGTAGAGTAGACGAGGAATCAGATTGTTCATCAGGATTTTAATTCGTTGACGAGGTTTGAGGGGGGCGCGTTTCACACGCCCCCATCATCGAAGCAGCGCCTGCCTTTGTGATTGAAAGGAACACCCAGACAGGTAAATTCCTCTGTTGGCGAGATGACTGGAATTGACTGGCAGTTGATATTGAAGATAGTTGGAGAAAGAGTCATAATTTTACGCTGTCTGTCAGAGACTATGTTGATTGTACGGCTTTTGTTGACGTTGATCGATAATCCCGCAAGTTCCAGTGAGGCGGCGGTACAGCTGAGCCTGTTTTTTGAAGAGCCGCAGCGTTTGGAGCTAGGATGATGGGATCATCAGCATATGCTATGTAAATTTATATGTTTATATGAAGGTATAAATTATTATTATATGCTATGTAGTGCAAAGGATGACCATCAACGTAGATGGAGTCATGGGCTTCAAGAACATTGAGTATCTCATCCATAGTCATGATGAAGAGAAGCGGTGACAGAGGGTCACCTTGTTTGAACCCCGTGTTGGATGACACTTCACTTCGTGGAAGAGACTGTAGGAGTTAGAATAGTAGTTTGTAAGATGTTCTGTAAGCATTGAGGACGCACCAAAACTTTCAGCCACCCTTAAAATTGTTTGATGTAGGACGCTATCGAAAGCTTTCGAAACGTCGAGAATAGCTAATGCACAACTTGTGTAGTTGGAGTGCGCTTCTCTCAAAACGGCGTGAAGAAGATTGGTCGCTTCGAAGCAGCAATCACGTTGCAGGAAGGCAAACTGTAGTTTTTCCACTGAGAATGATCTGGACCAGCGCTCGGCGATAATCTTGTGCAGACAGCGAGTAACGAAAGAAGTTATGGAGATAAGCCGCTAGTCAGTAGGGTTATCGGGTTGTGATGTCTTGAGAATGAAGGTGACCCTGGAAGCTGACAGGGGTGAAGACAGGAAAGACGTCAGCAAAAGACGGTTTAGATATCCAGCCAGACTAGTGGTTAATAATCTGGAGGTCCCTGGGAGTCATATGGTAAGCACAAGCCAAGGATATGACTATTTATTTTAGTGCCGATATGATCTCTTTGGTTGAAACTGGGGCGATATGGTCGTTATTGGTTGGAAGGTAGTCCTGGACCGGTCCAGTGTCTGGTAGGGCTGAGCGCGTGAATGTTTCTATCCAAAATTCATTGAAGCCTCCTGTAGCGGAAGGCTGACATGTGAACGGGTCTCTCCATCTGCCATCAAGTACCGTGTTCGCAGCATCTTTTGGCGAACGGTGGAAAAGCGCTCGCATGTGGGCATGTAAGATGCGACGCCTCTTCTTGTTGTTTAAGTTTGATGGGAGACCGGAGACGTATCTCTGCTTGGATGGTTTTCATCTTGTAGGGAACAGCTGTTGGGCCTGCTTATCCAGAAGTTGACGTGTCTCCTCAAGAGTAATATCATTGGCATATGGTTGCATGATAATTTGTCGAGTGGATTCAGTGTCCAGCCGCTGAGATGAACTTGCCAGTTGTGTGTTGATGGCAGCCATGAGGTTAGCATGTATAGTGCCTATATGGAGGCTTCTATGGAGTGTCATATTCACTAGGGGTGTTAAACCATCTTGAGTGAGTCGAGTAGTTGGCGTAATTTGTCGTTGAGGTTCGTGTTCAAAGTTTGGAGTGGGTGATGAAGCTCGCCTGGGCGAGAAGGCGTCGATAGTATAAGTTGGAACCTATTCGTCAATATGAATATTTTCCAGATGTTGTGGCGTCACTGACACAGTATAATAATAATAATTTTTATTTCTGTAACAGAAACCAGCCATTTTTACAGGCATGAACATATGTATACTTATGAAAACTTATAGAATATATAATATGATTTGTTAATTTAGAAATAAGTTGAATGTGAGAGAAACATTTAGAATGAAGTGTACAAATAAGGAAATAGATATAGCGTCAAATCTAAACTGTGATTGAAAAAAAAATACATATCAATTTCACGCGGGAATCATAAATGATTGCGTTAGTTGGGAAGGTAAGTAGCATTTCTGTACAGGTGCTGACGTGATACATAAGAGATGCAGAGTAAACAATAATTATCAGTAAATCATTCAGAAAGAGTTTTAAAGTCTATTAAACTTTGAATTCACCTGTAAGTACATCATATTTGTGACATTTCCAGTTGTTTATGAGACCCACTTTGAACTTGTCAGCAGATTTTATAATACCAATGATCCCGCTATTCACTAGATGAGCTAGCAATACCACGAATAAGTAGAGAATTGCAGCGCTGTATCAGTATAATAATAATGTATATTCTCATATAAACATATAAATTTACATGAAAATGCATGCCATTTTTACAGGCACCATCAAGTATGATATAATATCAAATCGTAGATTGTCTACAAGTTAATAATGTTTCAACAGTTAAATATTTGATATATATATAAATACACATTGTCTGAACTAGGCTGTATAGTTATTGAATTGTACAGTTGTCCTCCAGGTTGAGCGGGAAAATCGACTTCGTTTCGTTTTCATCCCGTGGTTGTCGGCATACGATAACCAACCAATATTGAGGTAAGTACAACGTTTACAAGGGATTGAAAGCTGTTTTAGAAAAGTAAAAGTGCTGAGGTGAATCATTAAAGTGTAATGAAATAGGTAAGTGCAAGTATCATTAATAAATGCATTAATAAAATAAACTCCCTAGGCTGACAACGTTCATTTGCAATGTATAATGCTACACGTGTACCTCGTACTATCATGATGTCCACTTTTGGTTTTAATACATTTATCCTCAGTTGTGCCAGTTGTTTTTGTTTTATACCTTTTTGTGCATTTAATGTACAACCGTACCCTTCAGAGAGTAGGAATATAATAAGTCATAAAGAGCTGTAAAATGTTAGGTTTAATGGGATATAATGAGGATCAAGTAAAGACGTTATTGGAAAATGAATGAGATAAGACATTGTGAAGTGGTATTTAAAGATCAGTCAATGGACAGCAAGTTAGTTTATAAGATGCCCCATAAAACTGTGCACATCCCACATGGTCGCATCTCAACAATAGGCTGGGCGAATAGTATATATTTAGAGGTAGAAGCATGATCTGTCAAGGCGTTCATTATTATCTTTTTCAAGATAAAGATCTAAGCCCTCATAAAAATCAGAAATATCTCGAGCCTTTAATTTGTGTATTGCTGTTCCTGCAGAATGGGGCGATTCACCTTAGTGACCCCCACCATATCTACCTTCGTTGAAAGCAGTATCTTTGAAAAGAGAAGAAGACAAAAGAAAACCGCCAGACAGATGCAGAAGTATATAAAAGGTGTTAATAATTCAAAATATACAACAGGCATGGGGTTCATCATTTTTTGTTGTGTTTTTTTCAAGAAATATTATTTTCCCGATATTTTACAGTCTTTTCTGCGAACAATTAGTTTAAAGTGAAAGACAGGTGATAATTTCACCTACTTACAAGGTTTAAAAGGAGTTAAACACAAAAGTCAGAGTGCGTGAGCTATGTAAAAGAAAAGCGAGGGCCTAGTAATATATGTTTTTCTGAAGTATACAGTCCGGTATACTTCTGAAGTAGCGGACTCATATATATAGGGGGAATATTTGAAATTTTTCTGTTAACGTTTCTTACTGCTTTTATCTATTCTGGTAATTCGAGTGATCGGTTGGCTTCATCTTTTACGGTTTAATCAATAATGACAGCAAATTGGAGGTTTCGCTCTTGCTTGAGCTGAGTCTGCATATTCGAGGAGATTATGATAGT